AAGAAGCTACTAGGAACAAGTGCCACGCTAGTAGTAACAGGTGCCTTACTAGTAGTAACAAGAAGCTAGTAGGAACAAGTGCCACGCTAGTAGTAACAGGTGCCTTACTAGTAGTAACAAGAAGCTAGTAGTAACAAGTGCCACGCTAGTAGTAACAGGTGCCTTACTAGTAACAAGAAGCTACTAGGAACAAGTGCCACGCTAGTAGTAACAGGTGCCTTACTAGTAGTAACAAGAAGCTACTAGGAACAAGTGCCACGCTAGTAGTAACAGGTGCCACGCTAGTAGTAACAAGTGCCTTACTAGTAGTAACAAGAAGCTATTCTGCTCCGGAGGCGCCTCCAAGTCGCGACGGAGCTGCTGGAGCTGCCGCGCGGCGTCGAGGTGCGCCGCCTCGCCGCCGGGAGGTTGGTGACCGAGCCACCGGAGGCCCCGGAGGCGCCGTTTTCGGTGTGGAAGCGTGTGTTTTGGGGGGACATGTCACACAAAGGGCGCTTTTTCAGGCACCTATGAGGCTTCTTCGTCTTCAAAGATTCAGGAGGCCTTCTGACATCTCAAAACATGTAGAAAAATGCCGATGAATCGAGGGCCTTGACCGGACCTTCCTTGTCTTGAGATGCATGTTGCTTGTAAAGAGATTGGCTTCTCTCAGAATATACTATTAATATATGAATCATCATGATTGGCCTGTTCTCTTTGGCCTTTCAACTCTTTTGGGTTGCACAGAAAGCACAAAACCTGCTGTCTCGGGACTACAAATCTGTACAAAAAAGAAAGAACTACATAGAACTACTAGATACTCCAACCTGTTCCCATACTAACTTAATAACTATAACACTTCCTCTCAACCCCGACCCCACGGCTTTCCACACCGCACCTCGCGTTCCAACAACTTCTCTTCCTGGGCCTGGCCACGCTCCTTCTGCGTGGCCACATCCACACGCATCTGAGCGGTGCGACCGGTGCGAGCACGAGGAGGTTGCGGAGCAAGCTCTTTTTGGTCCGAAAGCGACTCTGGACGTCTTTTTCTTGGAAGGAGGAGTGATGTTGTCTCAGAAACTTAACGGTTCGTGCCACCTTAACCAAACTTCAGACCCGGTTCGTCTCCGACAAAACAACATCGCATGGCAGAAGAGCTTCAGACAGCGTGAAGGCTTGGGAACGTTTCAGTGTAATCCGGCTACGGCTCGTGACCCACCTGCAGCCCGACCCGTCCACCATGAACGGGTCACAGGCAACCGGTACATCCGCCGGTACATCCACCGGGATGAACGCCATGACCGGATCGGCAACCCACGGCCATACTGCCATACCTCTTCAAGTCAGAGGCGAAACCGAGGCTTTCGGCTTCCCGGTTCGAGCATCTGAGCATCTAAGGACACCCACCGTCGCAAGGCCTAGGGGACCCGGTCTGGACCGAGGGACGATGAAGGCACTGGTGGAACACAGCATGCGCATGGTGGCTGTTCTTCATGTTGGGGTTGGGTCAAACCACGGTCTCTCTCCATGTGTGAAAGACTTCAAATACTGGCAATCC